AAAAAAAAAAAAAAAAAGCTTGGGCTTACCAATCATCATCTCAATGAAAGCGCGTCTATCCCTTCAATTTGCATGGCTCCTTTATCCGTGTGTTCGTTTATATTGGACTTGACATTATCAGGCACGGTAAATCTTGACTAAATTTTCTTGGTGCTCTCTCGGTGTGGTTTGGACGAGTATCGAATGGACCAAAATGCGATGACGTAGTCGAGGTACAGACAAAAAAAAGAGTATATTTATACACCTACGTTGATACGTAGAGCTAGAGAGACACGCCCTTGTCCAGTCTGACGCGGCACGAAAGACGAATGGGGGGGGGGGGAGAAAAAAAAATGGCGTTACCGTAAAACTCGTGCAGGTGTGCAAACTACCACCTATTGGTTAGTACATCGGAAATCAATGGATGGGTTCGTTCACCGGAAACACCATATGTACAATCCTTGAGAGATCGATTGGTTAAGAGACTGATCGCGTGACTTATTTGGCGAAATTTGTAAAATTGTTTAAATTGCAATAACGTATGAAATAAAATTAATTTATATACACTGTGATAATGATCCATGAAAATGACGATATTTTACTTTACTTTTTTGTCCTTTTGAAAGGAAGATTAAATTATACAAGTATAAAAATGTATGTAAATCACTGCATAAAAGTAGTCACAATGATTATAGTCCAACGTAACCACTTAGTGCCGAGGAAAGGAGAAAATAAGCATCGCCGGTGCAGCAGCGGCAACTCCCACAACTGTTCGAATATAGTGTACGTCGTACGGATACAAGCGCGAAATGTATATGTAGTGAACGGGTCGCTCGCCCACGCGATTCTCCCGTGCGCCCACGCCGAATTCGAAGGCCTACTTTCATCCTAAATCCCACGCACAAGCACGTCTCTGTACCAAGGATCATTTCCACCGGATTTAGAGATCGGTATTTTCTCCTGACGTGGGTATGCATGTTTGTTCGCGCTCTTATTAGCTTCGGATACCCGCTAATGAATTTGGAGGCGCCGAAAGATGCTTGAGGAAGTTTTTTTTTTCGTTTCGTTCGCGAAAGTAGGTACAGCTCTTGCACCAGGGAACATTTACTCCGCCAATTGTCAAGATCGCGGAGTATTCTCTCCCCATCTCTCTCTCTCTCTCTCTCTCTCTCTCTCTCTCTCTCTCTTGGTTGATTTAAAAATAATTTTCAACTTAAGGCGTAATGTAGCGCGTTTAAATGAGTACATTGAGTGTATATATTCGTGATTAGAATTATTTGTTGCATTTTCTTTACACTTTAACGCTCGTACGTGTAGGAACGCACGATTAGAGATAATAAGTTAGGGAGAAAATCACCGATGCCGTCCTGTCGATCCAAAAACGCGTTTTGGGAGCCAATGAGCAACAACCTGCTCTCCTCTCCCTCTCGGTTATTATACCACCACCATCTGCATGTAAACTTGTAGGAGTGGTACCCATATTATACTTATAGGCTCTTCTTTCGTTATATCATACGTATGTCATACGTCGTAGGTGAAACATTTGTCGTCCTCTCGGTCGTCCTGCTGCGAGTAAAATCTTAATTGACGCGAGACAAGAGCGATTTCGATTCGAGATTTGCTGTACAGAAAAACGCTGCTACATAACATATGAGTTGAAAAATATTTTTCATGTGACCATAAAAATACAAATAAACGACCGACAAATAACTCTCTATCTAATTGGTTTTTTTTTTTTTGTTTTACAGATTAAATGTACATTACAATACTCATGCATATTTATCTGTTGCTCGTAAGATTGTGTTATTTTCACGCCTATTTTCCCTCTCTCTCATAGAAATTGTAATTTGCGAGGCCATACGAAAAACGCTACTCGGAACAATTAACCAAAAATCACGTGAATCAGAAAAAAAAAAAATTGTTTGGCAAAAAACTCCAGACGACTCGGATCCAATACGTTTCAACGCATAGGTATACTGTCGAAAACCCAGCAAAAAGAGAGAGAGAGAGAAGGAAAAAGGTCTTAGTTGGTTGCATTGAAAAGACACGCAGACACACAGAAGCTTGTGGTCGTCGTGCGAGCATTTCCTGTTACTCGCAAAATTGAGTTTCCCTCGGAGTTTCCGCTCATCGGGTAGCCTTCGTTTGCACGTATGTGGCGGCTCACCCTCGCGTGCTGCGTTCAATGACAAACGAAAAAGTGGAGCCAAGAGTGAGAGAGAGAGAGAGAGAGAGAGATGAAAGAAAGAAGGTGCACACGAGATGGAAACGGGATCGAGGCGACCACCATCTGCCTTTCTGTTCTCGCTGGTGAGGAGAATCTTGGTGAAAAAAAAAAAAATACACGACAGAAGAAACGCATTGGTGCAAGAAAGAGAGAGAGAGAGCAGTAAAAGCCGAAGACATAGTAAAAAAAAAAGGACGAAGGGGGAGCCAAGAGGGAGAAGAAATTTTGTGAATCGGAAGGGAAAAATTAATGAATGGGCGAGAGCGAGAGAGAGAGACAGAGGAAACTCTCGGCTCGGTGGCGTAGCGTATAATATACCTATACACCGTACCCGCTCTGGGTGCACATCTGCCTCGGATTCCCAAGAAGTCCCATTCAAAACGCTGACTTTACCTGAAGCCCTCGCTGCCGTATCCTCCTTTCTCTCTCTCTCTCTCTCTTGCTCGTTCACTTGCTGCTTCCTCGACTTGTGTGCCTGGCTCTTCCCCCTTGGCATTCCTTTGTCGAATATCATCCGCCAGAGAGGAGGAGAGTAGTTCGCTTACCTTCTCTCTCTTTTTTTTTTTTTTTTTTTTTTCCCTTACTATTTCTCGTCCCTTTTTTTCCCCCTTCCCTGTTAAAGAGTGAATGATAGAGAAAGAGACGTATCTCTTTCGCAAGAGCAAAAATTATTCAACGAGTATTTTAGGTAGTAGAGTTTTTATTTATTCACAGATATGTACCATGAAATGCGAGACAAAATGATCCTCTTTGTATCCTCCCCGTGCAATAATAATAATTTATTCTTTCTTCCTCTTTAAACAAATTGGCTTCAACTTTTCTTCTCTCTTTTGTGTAACATCGTCTCCCAAGTGTCTAAAGTAATTTATGTTGCCTGTGAATCCATAGACTTAAGTATGATGAGATTATCAATAAAGTTCAAGAAGTTTTTTTTTTTTTTTTTTTTAATTTCACCTCTTTAGAGCCTGTTATATATATTTTATTATGTGAGTACGTTTTATTCCCTAACAATGAGGAATTGTATTTTCATTGGATAACATGCACTCGGTGGGCGTTACTTCAATGAGGTTCAAAATGGTTTTTACAATAAAAACAAAGTCTCGTCTGACGCATAGGCACTCACGCGGGGATCACTCATATACACGTAAAATATCGTCCTCTCACGAGCATCAGCGAGCGGAAACTTGAGCTGCACACAGTATAAGCACAGCACTTGTATATTCTATGACAACAGTTGGAAAAAAACAAGCATCATCTGCTGCTACAGGCTTCTCCTCTATAATTTATCTTATTTTGTTCGTGCTTTATACTATGCATTTGAAAAATTGTCGTCCCAATAAAGTAGATAGATAATGAAGTGCTTCAAATGGACCTCGATGCGTAAAAATAAAATCCCTAGATCAAAAATTTACTTGTGTTTTAAACTCGATCCCCTGTGGCTGAGTATTATTTTTAGATTCCCTGGTTATTATTTGCAAGCTCAATCGACGAGTTTCATTGGGGATTGTCTTTGGATTTAAAAGTCTGTCTGTCTGGACAAATGCAGATCGATGTACAAAAAAAGAAAAAAAAAAAAAAAAAATCAGATTTATAGTTAATGGCAATTTATTGAACACTGGCAGATAATGCTATTGGAAAAAATTCAGAATATTATTATTAATTTTCTCCATGCTCGACCAGTCTCGTGTACACAATCCAGCTAATTTTTTAGTTATAACCGATAGACTAACAAAACGCGGATGATTATCCGCGGAATGGCTCATGTACATATTGTATATAATATACAAGTACTCGATCTCGGAGAGTTCTGCAAAGCTGCAGAGGATGAGAGAAGAATACTTTTGCGTCGACCTGTACCTATATATATATATATATATATATATATATATATATATATATATATATATATATATACATATTATACCCAGCCACTGACACGTGAACGTAAACGAGCGTAGATTCCTCCGTCGTCGTCTCTCCTCTCAATACCTGTATGTATATATATGCTCCACAGCAGCAGTAGCGGCGGCTACGGCGGCACGTCCTGTCGCTCCTCTGACTGTTCTCTCTCTCTCTCTCTCTCTCTCTCTCTCTCTCTTTCTTCCTTGCTTCCCGCGATATATATGTATACACCTACACCTGCCCTATTACATACAGAAAAGAGAAAGATCTGCTCTCGCTCGGAACGATGAACTGCACTCGGTTCGCGGGCACGAGTCAAGTATAGTGTGGATTTTTTTAACACATGCAGATAACAATATATTCCTATGAGCAGCTGCTGGTGGCGTATCCGCGCTTCATAGTTCTCCTCCCGAGGCTCACCTGTCCCTCGCTCGACTGCGAACTGTTTTTACGTCAAAGTCACACGTTACCTGTCGCTGCTATCAGTCGGCTACATTTTTTTTTATTCGATATGACGTTTAGGGTGATTTTCGTTACAATAATCCACATAAATCGTTCGGCTAAAACAATGACCTCCTTTAGGTACTAATTTCATAATAATATCAAATGCCTCGTCAAATGCTGTAACGTCAGGAGCATATTTAAGTATACAAACGCTTCCCTCATAAAGTCCGCACGTGATTTAATGGACTTAAATGTAGAGATAGTGTGCAACAGGTGGTCAAAACAATAGCACGCACACTTGTCCCATCATCACTATCTCTCTCTCAACAAACCTATCAAAGATACTCTTTTTTTTTTCCTTCTATTAGACTTAGATACAATAAAATAAACTTTAGTCATGTCACTCGTAATCCAATGTAGTAATGTAATGTGTTTTTGTCATGTGCAGGTGGGGATGAAGCGCGCGTCGCGAGGGCGGGAGGAAGCGGTCGCGGAGCATCCTGCTGCAGCACCCTCGCTAATGGAACGCCCTTGCTGCGAGCGCTACCACCTCGCGCCGCAGCAGGAGCAGCAGCAACAACAACACCAGAAGGAGCACTGCCACTACCACCACAACCCCCAACAGGTCGAGGAGGAGCACTCGATCTATCCCTGTTGTCGTCGTCAGTTGTCACTCGTCCGACGACGGCCATCAGCGTCACGCCGCCCCAACAGCAATGGGCTAGCCATCACAACCACCAGAACCTACTTTTGCCGGCTGCCCACAGTTATTCCCCGTCGCACCAACAGCAGTCGATCAACAATCGGCAACAACAGTATCCAGGAGGAGTCGTATCACCTTCAGCGCCAGCGGCCGCCCAGGACGCGCCATTGCCCGTCCTACCCCCGAAAAAGTGGCAGTGGCATCACGCGGCGGCCCCAACGTCCGTACTAGCCGCATCAGTTCCCATGTCGCAGCATGCGGCGGCCTCGCCGCCGTCCCGACCGCCCTCCTCGGCCTCGTCCACGGCCAGCGGCTCGAGCACCACCGCGACCCGCCACCACCACGACCACTCGAGGCCTCTGCCGCCACCCCGGCTGCCCTCCGCCTTCGAGTCCCCGGCGAGCCTACCCCCCTCGCCCCGGCTGCTCTCCTCGAGCACGAGTTTTCGCAGCGCCGGCCGACCCGCCCCAGTTGGACCGCCGCCACCGGCTACCCCCTCCCCGTCGCTGCCGAGGCCCGGCGGTGCCGTGCCCGTAACGACGACGACCACGACGACAGCAGCGGCGGCGGCGGCTGCTGCCCTGGCCGAGGTCGTGAGCCTCGAGGTCCCGAGGCCGGACGGCGAGCGCATCCCCAACGAGTACGTCGAGACGCCCTTCAGGCCGGCTGCCGTCGTCAGCAAGCCCGGCGCCCTCGACGCCCACCAGATAAAGCCCAGCAACCACCAGCGGTCCTCGTGTCCCCTGAGCAGCCACAAGACAACAGCCACGAACAAGCCCTCCAGGCGGCCAATAGGTTCCTCGAGCAGCAGCAGCAGTAGCAGCAGGAGCCAACAGCAGCAGCGTCGTCGCCAGCAGCTGGTGGACGAGGCGGACGCGGTGAGGCCCGTGGGGGGTACGGTGATAACGAAGCAGCCCGTGTCGTTTACGAAGGAGCCGAGCAACGGGCTCGGGGGGCCAAGGGGCACCGAGGGCACCCAGCCCAGTCTGTCGATAATGTGCGACCAGTGCGGGCGCTGCAGGTGCGAGAGCTGCCGGGAGCCACCGCCTCTGCCGAGTCGGTGGGTGTGCGACAACTCGTGTCTCTGCTCCCCCGAGTCGGTCATCGACTACGCGAGCTGCGTGTGCTGCGTCAAGGGCGTGTTTTACCATTGCGCGGAGGGTGGGGTCGGCGGTGGTGGCGGCGGTGGCGGTGGCCCGGGGGCCGGGCTACACCTCGACACGTCCGAGCTCGGGAGCAACTGCGCCGACGAGCCCTGCTCGTGCGGTGGCTCCCGGAAAACGGCCCGTTGGACCTTCATGGGCGCGATGGCCCTCGTCCTGCCGTGCCTCCTCTGCTACTGGCCCCTACGGGGCTGCCTGTACGTGTGCGAGGCCTGTTACGCGAAACACGCCAGCCAAGGCTGCAGGTGCGAGCCCCGGAGCTTGGCCACGGCGCGCCAAGCCGGCCTTGCGTCCGACCCCCTCAACTCCTCCACGTCCTCGTCGACGTCGTCGTCGCAGTCGCGCTCCCAACTGTCGGAGGCGCTCATCAGGGACTCGAGGGACCCGGAGAAGAGGCTCCTCGACCCTTTGGGCGCCGAACTGTGAGCCCAACGCCGGACTATATTTTATATATACATATATATATATACACACACGTACATATACACGACGTACCTATATGTTCAAAAGCGTGCGCGCGTATGTTTCTTTTTTTATTATTATTTATTGATATATACGTATATGTGCATTGTATGTGTATGGTATACATAAATATTATACGCGCGTTGGCACCATATATACAACGCGCAACGAGCACGGACGCGGCACGCCAGCGCGTGTGTATGTACACATATATGCGTAAACACGTAGCCGCGCTCGGGTGGAGAGAGAGAGGGAGAGGGGGGGCCCCCCTCGAGTACGATGAACTCGGTGACGAGGACGAAGCGAGGCCGTCCAAGGCAAAAAGAACGCGTAGCGGTGTGTGTGTGTGTGAGAGAGTGTGTGTGTGTGTGTGTGCTGTACGCGGCCCCAGAGTTATCTCTCTCTCTCTCTCTCTCTCTCTCTCTTCTTCCGTCCTCCTCCTCTTGTTTTTTATTCTCGCTCGGACTCGGCCGAGGGGAGAAAGGGAGAGCGAGCGGCTCCGAGGAAGGAGGGACAGAAGAGACGCACTCGTCGTCGTCGTCTTCGTCGTGTACGGGGAGACTGAAAAAGAGAGGAGAGTGTGTCCAGAAGGAGGAGGAAGACGGAAGAGGCCGATGAAAGAGAGAAAGAGACTCGACGGACGGCCGCAAGGGACCGAAAGAGGAAAGGAAGGAACAAACAAGAAAGAAAAAAAAAAAAAAAAAAACAACAACAACAGCAGCGAAAAGTGTATTGCATTAGTACAAGAGTTGCATTTAAGCGAGGATGTACGTGTGTGCGAGAGCGTGCAAAACAAAAAACAAAAAAAAGGAGCATGTACGAAAAAGGACAGGTTCGCGTATGAGGCGGAAGTGCATTGTTGCTCTTCGAGTGTAAAGAGATAGCCAACGATTTTTGTAATTGCATAGAAAGCGAGTGTCTGTGCGTTAAATTTGATCATGATCATCATGATGGAGTTGTTTTTTTTTTTTTCCCTAAAAAGAACGCGAGGCGTGCCTGGATGTGTCCACACATTTTCGTATGGATCTTCGCTGATTGAAAGAAGACAATTTTTGCTATCATGCGTATGAAAACTATTAACTATTACTCACTATACGTCGTATAACGGACTTTGTAATTCAACAAACTGATATACATATAATAATATGATGGACTATAAAGATAAGGTGAAATGAATGAAGGCCCAAGTAAATGGAGGGGGAAGAAAAATTATATAAAATACAAAAAAGCACGTACGATGACGACAAAGACGACGTTTACAACTATAAGGTAGGATTGATTAAGCGCGCGCAAAGAAAAATCATAGATAGTTCTATATAAACAAATAAATAAATATATATATTATACATGTATAAATAATCACTATATCGAGATGAAATGATGGATGGAAACTAAAAAAAATAGATATATTATATATGTATGTGCATAAGATGAAGAAAAAAAATTATATATTGTATATTACGTTTGTATAAAGAACAAAACTTTTCTACAGTTAATTTATTCGTGGGCGTATATCGCGGGTAACACAAGTTTTATTACACAAAAGCGCGACGACGAGGATAAGGATATTTCAAATGAGAACGATAAAGGCGAATTTCTTTATTATTTTTTTTTTTACATATTTATTTTTTCTTTTTTTTTTTTTTTCTTCTTCTAAAAATATATTTTGTCCCACTGGTCTGTTAAAGTTATGATTTGGAACGGGAGAAAGGAAGTAATGAAAGAATTCGGTGCACCGAGGACTGATTCAAAGTTTTCTCAATCCATAACCACCACCACGACTACTACTGTTATTCATTACTATTATAATCCCCATTTTACTATTGATTATGGTATATTTGTGTAACTATTACTATTATTAACTTCTTTTTTTTATGGCATAAACATGTTCAAAGAAAAAAAATAAATTACTCTCGGTCCTCGGTCGAAGCAAGTACACAAAAAAAAGAAAGAAAAGTAAGGAAGGAAGGATATGAAAACACTGCGGTATATAATAAAATATATTGTATACCTGTTAATAATAGGGATGTAACACGCGTTTTTTTTTTTTTTTTTTTTTTTTTGCTAAAAGAGAAACGCATGGCTTTAAAAAGAACAGAGAAAGAATGGTTCAATTGACGGGATTCTGTACGCTCGGGAGTGTTTTTGACTTTATTAATTTTTCCAGTATTATCTAGTCTTGCGAACACGTTTTTGTCAAACGCGGAAAACCACGGTATAGGCTTTCTTTTCGATCGGAGCGAACACACGCGATTTTTAATGAAAAAAAAAAAATAATAATAATAATAAACAAATAAAGTAAACTAAAGTAATAATAATAATAATGATAATAATGATATGACATAAAGGAATAAATAAATAAAAAAAAGACAAGATACTGCGTTGCAAAAGTAGGTGATGATGCGCTTGAAGGCGAGGGGTAGAGCAAAAGATGAGAATTAAAATTATACGTGCGCGTATGTGCTGATAATATACACGTATGTATGTAAAAAAAAGTAAAACATAATATTCAATAGTTGGCTCCAAGCCGCGTCGTCTCTTCTTCATTTTCCTTGGGAATTCGATTACACACTTTTAATCACAAAAATATAATTTTTCCCGAACTTTAAGAAGGGAGCCGAAACATACGAGACAGGCGAAACATCATAGTTGACAAAAGTTGTAAAGACGCATGTAATTGATTTTTCGTAACATGTCAGAGACGACGGAATTAATTCAATAAATCCTATAAATTTACAAGTAATAATAATAAAAAAAGTGAAGACAACAAATTTAATAATTAAACAAACTAATAAAGTACACACACACACGATAAGATAAGTTAGGGACAAAGTCCCAAAGAGATCGCGCGAAAGGTGGAAAGATGATTCATACAATTATTATTGTACGAGTTGACTCGCATATATTTATACGCGTACGTGTGTGTATGTATGTTTATGTATAACAAAAAATTGTCATCGCTCTTACACCTCGAGAGAATAAATGAGTAAATGATGATATGAAACATAAAAGAATACGAATCAATTCATTCCTCCTGCACTGATTTTTTGTTTTTTGTTTTTTCTTAAATAGTAACTGTACACTAATAAAACGGAAAAACGTTGTGAAAATGTACTATGAAATAAACGTGGCAAAGAAACGAAAGTTTTTTATCTGCATCGTGTCTGTACTATATTATATTGTATATCACGAGGACGATCGAAGACTTGAATAAACGACAAAGGGTCTCCGTTCCCAAAGCGGATGCACGCAACTATGTAAGTACTACACACGTAAAAAAAAAACAGCGAGCGTTGTTGAGCCAATTTTTATTATAATAATATTATACACTTTGTACGAAAAATAAAAAAAAATAAAAATTAAAATAAATAATTAAAAAGGATGTATCAATGTAAAGGTGGCACCGTTAGAGGAAATATAAAGGAATTGCTTGCAAAATTGGCGTCATCTTTACATTTGTGAATTACTCGGAGTCGAGGACAAAAGATGACAGATATATAGAAAGAAAAAGGAAATTTTTGCTGAGAGCAAAAGTTTTACTTCCTGCAGTGCAAATGATTTTTTTTTTGTTTCTTTTCTAATAAAAATATTACCTCTGCCGCTCTACCGCGACAAGGTAGAGTCTCGTTACTCCGAGAAATTCACGAATGACTGTTTCACTAGAGTACGTAGACTCCCTTACAGCGATTAAAAAGGATCCTTTAATAGCCTCTGCCGGTGCCATCTCGATAACTATATGTGCGAATAGCGAGAATAGTCACGAACTTTGTTTTGTATTGAACTATTATCATATCCAACTTGTAAAAAAAGCGTGCGTCTCAAGTAAAAGAGAAAGAAAAAGAAAAAAAAAGGTGAAAAAACAACTTTGTGATGGAGACTAAAGCGACGATCATACATTATATAGGAGCAGCTTGTTATTAACGTGAATGGGTGTGTTACGCGTGTATGTTTTAATCGATGTACATGTGCGTGCGCGCGTGCGAAAATGCAGATAGGTTTTTTTTTTTCCAAAATAATAATATTAATAATATTAATAATAGCGAAAAAGATGAAGAAGCGAGGAAGCCGATGAATCGCCGATTGGGGGAAAGGGGCCGCCCGCGCTGCGAGTGTGTGAATTAACGCGCGTGTACGTATGAGATGATAATCGTTGTGTGCGTGAGTGTGAGAGTGAGAACTCGCCAATAATCGAAAGGAGAGAGAGAGAGAGAGAGAGAGCGACAGGCATCCCCTTTCATAAATTGTATAAGGCCTACACACGCTCTGTATATGTCTTGTAAATATATATATTTAAAAAAATTAACTACCTCGCTTTGGCTCGTCAATTTTTGTTTTACCCTCTTCTCGCTCCATTCCCCAACTCTTTGCTCCACCCACCCAAACCTACGTTATATTATAATTTACACGTATGCAAAGGACGTAGTTTTTGACAAAGAATTTTTTTTTTTTCACTCAATTTCAAGATAAACGCTTGAAAAAAAGTTTGTTGATTTTCAATTTCAGTATCAATCAGAATAAATTCTCGTTTCGAGGATAGTAATGAGAAGAAAAAAAACCACATACAGCTGCGTGGAACGAGGGAAGGACGAATATACCTACGACTTTGGCAGAAAATGAAAAAAATGCCCGTTGCCTCTTGAATGACAATGGTATCGGAGGGCCAGGAGCAGCAATACTTATAGGTATGTATATGTGCAGCGTGCCAATGGACTTACGGCCGCGTAAGTATCGAGCGTCTGTCTCCACTGCAGGTTGTAGATGTTCCGCACGTAAGTGCATGCCATGGCGATTCCCGTAACATCAGGTAATCCAAAGCGTGTCCCGAGTACTGCGTTTTCACGAGGTCGGGTTCATTAAAATTTTCCGGACAGATATTACTTGAGTTTCGGTGATCGGTATAGATATTTTATCTGTTTTTCAATGATGTATATATGTATTGGACTCATCGCTTAATTATTATCAAAAGAACATTACGCAGAGATGCAAGCTCATACAGTTTTATCGGCACGCAGTTTAACGACTGTATCTTGTTTTTTTTTTTTTTTTTTTTCCTATACGAAGTGGCAAACATGATATACATGCAGAGCAGAGAGGCTCCACCGAGTGGTGCAGTGCATGGAAGCGGTCCGCAAGTGCACGTATCGCGTGTACACTGCAGACACGGAGAGCCGCATGAGACCGGATGTGACGGGGTATACCGATATAATATACGTGTGTATACATCGCCCTCCGGGGGCTGTAATCGAAGAAAACGCACACACGAACATTGTAATATATACATGTCCATGTGAGCTCGCTGCAAATATTATACTCACTTGGTGGTGGTGTATTTCAGCATTTAATATTGTGGTTGTTCGAGGAGTTACGGGAAAATCGAGTTAACGATAAAAAAATCGCGTATTTTTTACATCACATTTTAATTCGTAACGTTTTTCGGTGCGCATACTTACATCCAAAGAGTTATTAAGTTATTGGGGTTGCAGCTGCATGGTTGAAAAATCAATCGACGTACACCTGATGGGCTAAGCATCTTTTGAAACCCGTGCATGATACAAAAAGGGTAGGAAGGGTGTATACGTACTGGGGGAAAAAAAGGCAAACGCGTGATTTTGTGCATCGCGCGATCAAGTGTGCGTATGTATGAGCGGTAGTGAGAGAGAGAGAGGCCGTGCTAGATAATGCGAGGCAGAGCGCATCGAGAGACAGGAGGAAAAATAAAAGAGGAGAGAGAGTGAAGAGAGGAGGAGGAGGAGAGCACCGGAAACGTCAGTTAGCCGAGCGGTCCGGATCCGCTGCGCTGAGATGGAATGGATCTAATGCTCGCTGGCGCAGCCTCCCTTTTATAGCGCTCCGGACGGCCTCTCTCTCTCTCTCTCTCTCTCGTAAACTCGGTGTGTAAGTGCGTACAGCCACGCATACGTACAAGTTAGACTTTTTTTTTTTTTTTTTTTTTTTTTCTTTGTACGCTTATAATGCACACGTAGGTATACAATATTATAACGGAGGCTACACGCCTGTATAAGTTTCCTGATCCGTGCGCCGGCAACGGCATTTACGCGGCTTTTAATACGCGACCGTGCAAGCGTGCACGTAACTACTATTATATATGGTGTATGTAGAGAGCGCGTATACCGTCCGGGGAGGATACGCATATGTTGTAGGGGTGAGTGTTTGCGAAATATGCAGGTGTGGATGTAGATTAATGTTATTATTATTCTTGTTGTGTTGCGTATTTTATTTTTTACCATATTATCGTGTACAAATAGATGTGTTTTTTGAGAGTATCGAACATTCATAAATATTTTTGGTCCCAATGGGTTATTGGTCCACTGATATTTATGTTTTTCTAATAATTTTCAGGCTTGCTTAAAACTGTGGGGATGAATTATTGGAAAAGTCGAAAAAAACCACCCAAATCTCCACTTGAAAGAAAAAAAAACGAAACTTCAAACGGGTAGGTACTTTGGAGGTGTTTCTACTCGAGCTGGCCGCTTGTACAAGCACCCATGGGATCGTCGAAGAATCACATTGTCAAAAACGCCCTTTTAGTCCGGAGCTTTGGAACAATGGCCCTGTGGATTAGAAAAAGAGCTATTTTAACGAAAGATACCGCGCCACGACCAACGACGAAAGAACCCGATTTTCCACACCAGACCAGCGAAACAAGCCGAAAGATGTTTTTTTTTTCTTCTTTTTTTCTTGCATTTCCCAACACACGCCAACCCGTTGGAATACTGTGTACGTAAGTACAGTTCCCTAATGATTTGCATATAAAAAACGTGACGTAAAAAAAACAACACGGGCCCAACAGGCACAAGTGACCCTATACAGCTCGTTTTGCTTTGAAAAATCGTCTCTGCTGGTTTACGTTTACGTATAGTACACTTACCCACATGTTCTATATATCCACACGGCACCAGCAGAGACCCGCAGTGATGACGGCGACACTTGATTTTTTTTTTTTTTTCTTTTTTTTGCATCCCTGCGCAGCGCAGGAGAGTACGCGTGTGCATATAGCAGCGGGGCGCTGCCCGTTGAAAGGAGAGCTGGTTCCTGGAGGAGGAGGAGGAAGGGGGAGGGAAGCTGCGTGGCTGTGTACTGAAAGAGATCCCTTCGGGGAAGCGCGTGTTCCCCGAACTCTGGCCGCGGGGACTTGCGAGTTTGTGTGTGTGTAGCAACACGCGACGAGCATCAATAAGGGCCCACTGTGTCGGGGGACTCACTGCACGCCAGACAAGTCGTCGTCTTCGTTCTCCTGATATATATATATATATATAAAGGAAGCGCGCGTTGTGTCG